TATTACAGGGGAAGCTTGAAAGCAAGGAGATCGTAAGTTTTGACACTAAAGTAAACTATCTTTCCATCCTTTACTGAGAAATACCTTTGTTTTCTGATTACTCTGATGAACCATGCAGGGTGGCGTTAAACAGGTTATGGCTAATCAGGAGGCCACGCTAGTAACTAAGATTTCCTCTATCGAGGTGGAGTTGGAAACAAAACGAAAATTGGTGGAAGGTGAGATTCAGACCAAGAGGCGGGCTTGGGAGTTGAAAGATATGGATATTAAGCATCGGGAGGACCTACTTGCTGACAAGGAACACGATTTGGAGATTCAATCAAGAACACTGGTTGAGAAGGAGAAAGAGTTGGAAGACAGGTTACATGTTATTGAGGAAAAGGAAAGAAACCTCCAAGCTACTGAAAAAGAGATAGAGTTGAAGAGAACAGTTTTGCAGCAAGAAAGGGAAGGAATTAACAAAATGAAAAATGATCTTGAAAAGTCTGCGAAAATGCTGGATGAAAAAAGAAAAACCATCGACCATGAGGAAGAAAATGTGGAGGCTATGAAAAGTGAAACTCAAGAGTTGCTGATTCTGGAAACAAGGCTAAAGCAAGAGATTGATATGATTAGAGAGGAGAAAGAAGAGATTGAAAAGGAGGCAGATCGGTTGAAAGCAGAGAAAGCTAAATTTGAGACTGAATGGGAGGTAATTGATGAGAAAAGAGAAGAGTTGCAGAAAGAAGCTGAACGTGTGGCTGAGGAGAGGATAGCCATTTCTAAGCTTCTTAAGGATAGCCGTGACAGCCTGAAAGCAGAGAAGAATGCAATTCAAGAAGAATATAAACAAAATCTGGAGTCACTTTCTCGTGACCGTGAAGCCTTCATGTATGAAATTGAGTGTGAGCGTGCAGAATGGTTTAGCAAAATTCAGAAAGAACGTGAAAACTTTTTGTTGGATGTTGAGATGCAGAAGAAAGAGCTAGAGAACCGCATTGAAAAAAGGCGTGAAGAAATAGAGACTGACCTAAAAGAAAAGGAAAAGGCCTTTGAGGAACAAAAGAAAAGAGAACTTCAGGATATTGCATCTCAGAGGGAGACTGTGGAGAAGGAATTGGAGCATGTTGGGCTGGAGTTGAAGAAACTAGATGCTGAGAGAAAAGATATCAATTTGGATCGTGAGAGAAGGGACAAAGAGTGGGCAGAGCTAAATAATGCTATAGAAGAGCTTAAGGTGCAAAGGCTGAAATTAGAGAAACAAAGGGAATTACTTCATGCTGATAGGGAGGAGATTCTTGCTCAGATTGAGCAGTTAAAAAAATTGGAGGATGTTAAGATCATACCAGATCGTATTGTCACTCCCAAAAAATTACATTCGGATCTACAATCCAATAAACATTCTGCAAAAAGGTTTCCGAAGCATCCCTCGGTACTGGATGCTAGTCCGAATGGTAATTATAATAATGGTGTTAGACAAGATATTTCTTCCATCATTAAAGAAAACGACAGTTCATCTTCTCCTCTCTCTACTCCATTCTCGTGGCTTAAGAGATGTGCTGATACATTGCTTGATCGTACACAAAGTAACAAAAGGCGGAGGGAAAATGGGGATTTTACAAGTCAATCGACCGAGAATGGTGCATCACGGTAATTCTCTGCTCTTAATAGCTGACATGTGGAGTAGCACACACTTTTCTGTTATCCCACTTCCCCTTCTGTATGTTATAAAGTAGAAATTGAATATTGTTTTGATGACTTTATTTTTTTTTTCTGGTCCTTTCTAGTCCATTATCAACAGCACCAGACGCACCAGAAGTTGAACACTTGGAAGTGCCACCTGACCAAACTCCCATTGCTGCAGCGGAGACCACTGTGTATGTTGATAAAATTGTTACTGTTCGAGAAGTGACAACAATCGATGTTAAAAAAGCCACGGAGGCAAGTCAGGTAAGCCTATTGTCTTTATAAGGTTACGATTGCTTACAGCTTCATGATGATTTGAAATTATCTACTTTTTATAATTTTATATATGGAATGATTTCCGCCTTAACACCGTAGAGTAGTGTTAGAGTAGTCTTAGGTATTATGGGATACATTGAGTAATCTTCTGTCTTGATTCCTGTTGTACTCTCTGTTTGTCCTTATTTTATTTTATTTTCTATAACCCACATTTATGCTTTTAAACTTTAGATAACTACTCAGCATTCTAATTATGTGAAACTCAGGCAGTGAATTGTATCCTCGTTTTTCAATGTACATACCAATACACTGATAGATATAAGTTAGGAGGCAAGTCTATATTGTCGTATGCACTAATAGAAAGGAAACTCTATTAGTTCAAGTCCTAATTCTATTTTGAGTAATCTGAAATTTGTGTCCTCTCATAGAAAGGAAACTTTTCTCTAAAATATCAGTTCCTTTTTAATATCCTACCATAAAAATGTTATCGTGGGGCCTACTTTCTCACCAAAGAGAGTTTGAAATCTTTCACAAATACAATATTTCTACTTTTAGACCCTCACATATGTAAGTACAATAAATTCCAACTTTCACTTTAATACCTGTTCTCTCCCAGTTATATTACGAAGAGAGTATGATTAAGAGTCTGGTTTCATCGAATTGAAGAGGCTATCCTTGTTGGTATTGGTTGTGGCTGTTGAATTCAGCTTTTGATTTGCCTCTCTTCTCCCCAAATTATCTTTTTTTACGTGAGAATTTCCCCAAATTACCTTTTTCTTTTCATGTTCTGTTTGATGTGAATCATTAAAGCATGCTGCTGCAGGAGACTCTGTCTGGGGAAAGTGGTCAGAAGGTGAGGAACAATGGTAGCTTGGAATCAGATCAAAATGGGAAGCTTGAGGGCAGATCCCGAAGGACTAGGGCAAAGAGGAAGTAGTGAGATTGCCAGATGTGAGAAGAGTAGCACTTGAGCCTCAAATAATTTGCTGTTTGCTTTTTGTTCTTTATTTGAAATTTTCAGGTCCTCCTACAAAAAATTTCAAGCTAACGACTGATCGTGACTGGTGGTGCCATGTTTGTTGACTCATTATGTGCATCCCAAACATGTAAATGTCTCAGGCTAACTCATACTCTTTAAGTATTTTGTAAATGGTAATTTTTAGAATAGGTACGGTTGTGAATGTTTAGTGTTTATCAAAGAGCTGTGGTTGTAAGTAACATTATATCAAGTGGTTTGCGTGTTATCTGCTATTTTGTTCTGCTTATTGTGGTAAATGCAACTTAGCACTGAGATTTTGGGGATTATGTAGTAGTGAATTCGAGTTATTTGTGCTTTTTCCCCAGTTCTACGAGTTTTTAGACCAAGGCATTAGTATTTGGTTGATCTATTTTATTATTATACCATGTATGTTTACCGTGGCGGAGCCACATAGCTCCAAGGGGTGTTCCACCTTTTACAACAACAACAAACCCAATGTAATCCAACAAGTGGGGTTTGGAGATGATAGTATGTACGCAGATCTTACCCCTACCTTCAAGAAGGCAGATAGACTGTTTTCGAAAGACTCTCGGCTTAGGAAAGAAAAAAGGAAGGGCAACAACAATCGCACCAATTATAAAACTGAAGCAATAATACAAAGATACAATATCTATCCACCTCTTAGATAGGTAAAAATTATATATATATATATTGAACTTCCTTAGATTTATTTGTGTATCTACTTCTAAGGATGATGCTTGAGCAATGACGAGGTATCAGGGGATGAATGAGGAGATGGGTTCTCTCAATGATCTGTAAGTGTTGTGGTTGTAAAACTTATGTATTATTTGACAATATTCAAGTTGGTAAATGTAGAATGTGTGATGTCCATTATACTAAAATGTAGGCTTACGTTTATTGCTCTCCAAAAAGAACGTAAAATTTGGTATGAGATTTTGATCTCTAGAGTTCTTTTATTATTTAACAGAAAATGTAAATTGCACATTAAATACAGGACCATGCTTCAAGTTCTTTGTTTACATTTACGGAATTATTAAGGCTTCTAGGTTCAATTTAAGGCGCTCTGGCCAAGTCATTTTTTTCCTCATTTCTTTTTGTATGGTTCACTTTGCAGACCTATCCTGTGGTAAAAATAATAATAAATGGAACACAGAGAAGAAAGATTTTAAATATGAGAAAGTCCCCTTTGGATTCGAGAAGGAAATGAAGAAAGCGTTTCTAACTTTATTTTCGGAGATATGTTGGAATTTAAGGTGGACGACTGTTTGACATCAGGACCTATACAAGAGAAATTGGAGCAATTGAAGTCCAACAATGATCTTGCTTAAGACAAATTTCCAACAATGAACTTACTCTGTCAACTTTTCAAACTTACTTTGAAGTCAAACTTCTCTGTTGTCCCATTGATAATGTAATCCGCTCATATGTCGCACAAATCTGAATCTCGCATAGAATCCATAAATGATCAAAGCATGTCAAATGGAGAAAAGTTAAATTTTGTTTGGTGTTAGGATTTACAACTTTTAATGGAGACAGGATTTACAACAATCAAACAATGTAGAGCAGGGAATCAGCAAAAAATTTGATTGTCCACCTTTTCTACACCGTAAACTTAATCCCGCTCCTAGTCAACGACCCACACCATGTACCAACTTGGCAGTTTTGCAAGGTTCACCAATGTCAATGTTGGATAGTCTAATGATCAACGCTCAATCAATAGATTTCTGGGTTTGGTCTTTCTTCTTCGCAAGTTTAAACTCTTTAGAAGATGCCACACTATGCTATTCACATGCTAGTTCATTATAGGCCATATAGTATTAATTTCCCTTCATTCTACTTGCAAAAACTTATGGGATAATAAGAAATTCACTAGGAAGATCTCGAAATTCCAACTTGCTTAAATTAAGTGTCCTCTTCCAGCTTCCAGATAACCATTGGTATGTCATAACAGACGACCCAAGTTCAGAACATATTGTCCTTTGACGTTTTCTGACATAAAGTTATTTACTGTGCAACAACCAGATGACGGTGATTTTGTGAAATAACAAAATTTTACGAGTAATCAGCAAATTTTGGGTGGAAATGACTATTTATAGATGAAGGATACATATCAAATACACAGATATACTTGACAAGCATCATGGGATGAATAATCAAGATACATTCTGGATCACAAGTGTCTGAAAACTTCCAAGTTAAAATTTTTTGCACCAACAGAAAATACTACTCTTGATTGGAAGCTCACTTAAGCTCGACAATCCAACCCATCTTATCCTCTGTGAGTCCCATTTGTAGCCTAGTAAGTGCAGAGTATAATTGCTGCGACACAAGACCAACCCCATTATTTCCATATGTTACCCTGCAAAAGTAACTCCAATAAGAATTGATATCTAGTATAGATGCGCACATATTAGAATCACACATCGACACAATCAATATATACAGGAAAACATCATTTGATGCATCATCAGCTGGGTAAAACAAAACCAAACCAAAAAATATGTGTATACCTTTTCCCTTGATGAGTAATGCTACCCACAGGAGAAACAACCACTGCTGTTCCCGTACAAAAAACTTCATCAGCATCAAGCAATTCGTCCACGGACACCAGTCGTTCCTCAACCTACAAATTGACATCATGGTATCAGAATAGTAGTGATGCTGTAATACCCCCATATTTAAGTTAGGGCATACTAGTCATTTAATAGCTTAAACAAAAAAAAAAAATAATAATAATAATAATAATAATAATAATAAAAAAGGATAAAGCCCAATAGGAAAGACTAAACAAGAACAGAAAAGGGGATTGAGGGAAACGAAGCCAAAGCTTCTGCCACAACTAAACCTATCGGCAAAGGTTTTAGATTCATCAAACAATCGAAACCAAATAGCAAGAAGCTTTAAAGCTTAAGTAAATTGTGGCAGGTCTCTTTCAACTAAAGAAGGGTAAGTTCTTCTCTATAGTTTTGTTTCCCTTGTTCTTTGATTTATGAAACTTCATAGGGTACTGGGAAAATTTTTTATTATGGACAGTGGTTCTATTTGGTTTAGACTTGTGCGCATATCGGGCATCATGTGGTATTAAAATCAGATGAATATGTTCTATGAAATGGTTGAAATTGATAGATTAAAGATCAATTTGAGTGAAGAACTCCTTACAGAAAATTGCTTCCATGATGACATAGTGCAATTATTTAACTTAAGCATGTTTTAGAAGTTTTTAAAAGTAATATGGAATTATGTTTTCTACAGTAAAATCTCAAAAATTTACATATGACTTAATGAGCATGATTAAGATATAGAATTGGTTTCGCACAGGCGAATCCAACTTAAAAAAAATAATTGAGAATCAACAGGAAACTCCAAGAGTTGGATATTGTAAATTAGTTACGGATTAGCCTAAACAACAAAATTGATACGAGATCGATATGATGTGATTAAAGATTGACTGAAGGAGGTCGTACAGATTGCACGAGTTGACGCTGTTGGTATTTCGGCATGAGTACTGTGAGTAGTAACCTTACCGCAATTTGTGTTCCTATAACTTGCATGATTTATACATGATTTTAAAAAAAAAAGTGTTATCGAATATTCTGAATTTGCATGTGGGACAAGTTCTTTACTTGATATGATATCGAAATATTTATTTGAGATGATTACCGTTATTTTAAATATTCTCACTGCTACTAGACATACTTTACCGTTACCGAATGAAATTACATGATTTGATAAGAACTGAAATGCCCTGTACTGTTTTAAAAATATTTTCATGTAAGTATTGACTGATTACAAAGACAAGTATAAATAGGAGACTTTGAAGGATCCTGTAGCTAACGGGAGGTAGAACTAGCATACAATTACTGATTTTTCTGGAGTAGGGACTACTATTATATTTGACTTCTTGCGAAGAGGTCCACAGTTATTACCCATTACATGATCCACTCTTAGAAACCTCCCAAACATGAATATTTGACATGAAATAGTAATTCCCGAGTTTATTATCGAATTGTTAAATTGATTTTTGTTTACAGGAAATACATGAGACTGATTATTGTTTATCGTTTTTAAATGGGCATTTTGTTGCATATTATATATGGCATGTTTTCTGACTTGTCCCCATTAAAAACGGTTGTGGTTAAGTATTATTACTCACTGATGTCACGGGCCACTTTCTTACGCTCGTCAGCGGCACCGAATAGCTCGTGCGGCGCCTGCAGTTCCCCTCGCTGCAGGCCAGCCTTTCCTTTTTCCCACGTTTTCCAAGCACGATCCTGTGCATGTGGTGAAGCTTGCCTAGGAGGCTCGCTCCAACTGTGTCGCCCGTATGATGTCTAGGCTCTTGGCCTCGACTAGCTGTGGCGTTTTTCATCTTAGGATCATAATCCATGTGCGCCCTGGGGTTGGCTAAGGACATGTCTTGTCCTTCGCCGGACACTGAGCATCGCCCTCGCGTGCACAGTCCAATCCTCAAGCTTGACACTCACCTCGTACATCTGCACCCTACTTGTGCTTCACCTGAGTAAGGCAACCTTTAGTCCTTGGCCATTGTTATGTGCTTCTTTCGTGGCATGCCCATACATGGCCCTCGCGACACACGTCCATCCCGTATAGTGCAGTGTCGCCCCACAACTGCACGTCTAGGCCAACGGACCCTTGCTCGCATGGCTGAACCCGAGCCATGCTCACAAGTCGACACATGAAGCCCCGAAGATAGGTGCTTCAAGTATCCAATCGGCACGGAGGTCTTCTTCCAATATTTCGGTAGCCCGCGGGGCATACCCGTCCCACACGTCGAGCCTCCAGCGCCCGTTTGGTGCCCAACGCTAGCCCTAAGGCATCGCACCGTCCATAGAGTTCCCAAACTCGTATGGATACCTATGACACTCCTTTGAGTTGTCCAGGCAGGCCCTTGAGGTCCCCCTCAAGGTCGCTCATTCTGTACGGCTTGGTGGCAGCACGCACGGAAGAGGCAGGTTGAGCTTTCAACACCTATACCCCCTTATATATGCTTAAAATTAAAAAGCCCAAGGTTCCTGAATAGACTTGTCTACGCTAGAGAATCAGAAGGACCTTTTCTCACCGGTTCCGAACGAAATTACAACCCCAAAATGCGGGTTGTGACATCCTCCCACACTCATTCTGTCATCGTCCCCGATGACACATCAAGGATACTTCTCAGCGCTCTCGTCCCACTTGGCATTCGGCCAGCTCTTGGGACGTACTCTTGGTGAGTACTACATTCTCAAAGTTATAGCATCGCCACATTCACGAACAAAGCTCTTTGTTTTCCAACTGCCACTTCCTCAGCAAGTACCCAATGTTCCCGGTAGTACGTCTGTACTCGCCCTATAGTCAAGAACTCTCTTAGTTCTGCTAGCACGGCTTCCCGGTCCGGTGTGCTTCGCACTTAGCCCCATCTCAATGGTCCCCGATCATTCGGCGTACCCCTTTCCAGAATGACACGTTCCAACTTGGAAATCCGCCCAATTCTGAAGCTTCGCTATTTCCTTCGAATCCGTCTCCTCACCTTGGCATTTCAGCACTAGGCCTCCCCATGACAATGGTTTGGCTCCTCTCAATGCCCTCAGGCAGTCCACAAGTCTATCCCGCAGGAAAGACACTCAAGTGATGCGATGCACGCATCCTTGGCAAGATCTCCGATGCAATCATGCCCAAAGTTTATAGTCCACAGCTCCCACTCTTTGCAATACGGTTGCTCGACCTGGCAAACATGGCCTTTTCTTGACCACCCGACTCATCGGCATATCACCACATTCAATAGAAGCACAGACTTTCGAAAGAAATTGGAGTCACCCATTTCTTTCTTCGACCAGTAGTATCGGGTTCTCGATATCTGCTTTGACGTGATCTCCGCACTAACATCCAAAATGCACTCGTCATCTCAACTGCTTTCCTTGACATCGTCATGGCATAGTATGGCCTTTATCAGCTCTGACACCACGTGTCACGGGCCGACTTTCTTACGCTCTTCAGCGGCACCGAATAGCCCGTGCGGCGCATGCAGTTCCCCTCGCTGCAGGCCAGCCTTTTCTTTTTCCCAGGTTTTCCAAGTGACCCCGACATAAATTTGGTGAGGTAGAAGAAAAAAGCTGACTTATTGTAGTAAGCTGAATTCAGAGGAATTTCTTAACATCCTACTAGCAAGAAGATAAACATATAAGTCAGAGTTATTCAAAACAAATGATGTCTACACAGGTGATTTAAGCAACAGAAAATCAATGTTCTGGTTGCTTAACTTTGAAAGATACGTCAGACATTTTGATGCTAATGTGTCTCACCTCTTTTTATTCTTTTGTGAAGATAATTTTTTATCGATGTGATGAGAAAGCCCGGCATACTAGGTGTATACGTGAAATAGTGGAATTCTAATGGCAAACATGATTCTCTATGAAGGATATTCACCACCAACACTTCCTTAAGTGCCTCACTTCATTCACATGTTCAATCCTCAATATTTATAATCTAAGTTGCTCGAACTCGGGTGCGGGTGTCCGATACGGGTGCGGATCTAGAGGTCAGATCCTTCATGATCTAAATTTAAAGATTCGAGGGTACGGATCCAGGTGCGGGGATTTGGTTAAAAATAATTCAATTATTTAAAAATAGAGTTATAAAAATATGTCTAAATTATGAGACATTATGTGGAAAACTTACAAGGTATTCCGAGAAGGAGAAAATATTGAACAAGAGTAGAATTTTAGAAGGAGATAAAAGGAAAAGGATTGACATAGAAATTTATATATACAAGGTATTCGATTTTCTTCCATATCATCCTAGCTTTTGATTTGTTTTCAAAAATCATTGTATTTGTCCCAAATTTCTCCGTTGATTTTGGTCAAAGTACCCAAAATCGGTTGACCAGATCCGACACGGATCCCACACCCACACCCACGTCGTGTCGACACGGGTGCGGCATTGAAAGTGAAGAGTCCGAGCAACTTAGTTTATAATGCTTAGTCATTGTAAAAATTATAGCTTCCCAAATATCTGAATGGACTAAAGTAAAAAGTGACTGCTCGATTATCAAGACGTCGAGGGAAATGGGAGCGGGTATGCTTACCAAGCTGACATGACT